TTGAGTTTGCAATTTATTGTTAATAAAATGTTTGCCAAAATCGAACTATCTTCTCACCAGAATATATCCATTAAATACATTTTACTTCCATTCTGCTTAGATTCATTCATTCTCCGGCCCTGTCCATCTTATAATTCCTAAGTAATCATATCTTCGAAGCACCTTTTTATTGTTGGACCAAAATTATTCTGACTGTTGTAATAGTACATGAAATGCTACAGTTTAGTTTTTTATTATTCAACTTTATTTTTGAGCTCTATGCAGTTTTTATCCCATTAATCTATGTCTAGAAGTTCCTGAAAACACTGATCCTTCTGTACTGATGCCTAAAGAGTCGACAAGAAAGCAGTCTATTGATTTTGAGGGTGCTCTGAGCCATCAGTCCAATGCTTCAGGCTATGACAATGCTGGAGGTGGCGGTAGCTCTCAGAATCCTGCTCCATTTGGAATTGAAGCATTATCAGATCTTCAGGACAAGAACGATATGGACGCATCAATAGATTCAAAAAATGATAAAATTTCTTTGGATTTCAGAGACCAAGAAGTACCTGGGGGAGATGGGGGGCAGACTTCTTCGGGCTTAGGCCTTAATACATGTATGCCTCATTTTCTTATTATTTAACTATTGGAATATCCAAAACTATGGTTGCTTGATTAATTACTATTTATTATGGAATATTTCAAATAGGTCAATGCTTAATCTGACCAAAACACCTTAACCAGACTATAGTATACCTCCACTTCTACTTTTCTCTTGCTAACGGTATGGAAAATCTATGCCCTCTTTTGTCATTGGAGTGCAACTTTTAGTGCAGAGGGGCCTGGTTGTAAAACAGAAGCTTGCTTGTGGCCGTATTATACAAACCTCAATGAAGCAATTATTGATTGATAAAGGCCTCGCCGAGGAGTTTTGAGGAATTGTACTTTAACTTATACCTAATTTAAAGCCCTTACCTACCAAGCAAAAGACTCGAATTTAGACTGTTTTCAAAAATTGTTTACTTTTATTTCGTTTTGAGCAGGCTTTCGAGACTGATTTAGTGTTAAAGCAAATCTTCAAAGTCATGTTTGCCTTATGATTCACTGACACTTATAGTTGTGTAGCGGAATGGTAGAATGTTGTCGTGATGCTCACTACCCATTTTCGAATCCTGTTGAAACACGGGTGAAACCTAAACCGGGGTCAAGTTAGCAGTCTATCCTGAATTAGAAAATATTTTGTCATAATTGGGCATATGAAATTCAACGCTTTCGTGAGGCCTGCTCATCATTCTAGGAAAACCTCATTATCACTTGTTATATCACTTTAATCGATTTGTGGGGATTACTTTTTCTTTCAATAATTAATAATCGTTTCGAAACCCACTTACCTAAGATAAGTCATTGATACCTACTCAGCTAGTGTTCAGGCTCTTTCTTATCTATTTGTTTACATGCGCATAAACCTCAGATGTAATGTCTTAATAAATTATTTTTTTGTTTGAAATTGTAACTCATTTGTGGTTTCTTGCCTCATGAACGGCAAAATGGCACTTCACCAGGTCCCAGTATCAGTTCTTCCCTCAGCCAGTCTATCACTATCCAGCCTCGATCTGCCTCGGATACACGCCAGCCTGTAGATTCTCAAAGCCTGACTAGCCTGGGCCCGGTCCTACGACATGATGAAGCGGAGATTATGGAGGCATCGGAAAATCCCGACTCAGCTAGTGATACTTCTGCTATCCCCTCTAGGGTGACCTTTCAGCACCTTTATCCAGGTCAGAGAGGACAATTACATGATCGAGCCGCATTTGACGTTGCCAATCGAAGCCAATTAAAAATTGCGGCAGAGCTAGCTAAGGAGCGGCAGCAATTTGAGAATCAGGTCGCACCAGGCGTTGGTGAAGACCAGCATAATGAAGTTGAAATTGACAACCTCTCCTCAAAGGAGGCCGACGAAGTTTCACAAACTCAGCGCACTTTGGATGCAGACCAGGAAATGGTTGGTCGTTTATTCTTTATAGCTTTACTATTTATGATACATTTCTGCAAACTTCTTCACTGCTAACAGTTTCATTTTTTATTCTTAATAATATCAAAATGGTGTAGTTATCCGCAAGTGGCGCTTGATATAGAGTATGAGATTAAGTATAGGCGAATATGAAGAGTATGCACATTTTGATGAATGGATATAGTGCCGAGTTTAAGGGGAAATTCCACAAAGAGCAAACTTAATAGAGCTTATCCTGTTTGTCATCCTCAATCGTAATGGATATATAATTAATTGTTGAGCTTACTTCCATTTCGAGTGAAAGTGTTGGGTGAAGAGATTCGAAGATCGGCTCCACCAGAAGACGACGGTAGATTTCTCTTGACCAGCTGTCGATTGGCTTTACTGGAAGATTCATGCTGACGTTGTTTCCGAGGTAATCTCCTTTAATTCCGGTGTAAAGATTCTAAGCTTTCGTCCGTCATATGAACACAAACAGGCACATACGCATACGAAAACAGATGCACTCACAGGCTTCGAGGTTGACATATGCTCGTAACTAACAAAATCACTTTATATCTGATCAAATAGGCCAGATATAGAGTATATATACCGCTTTTTAGGGATTTGCCGGTGAGTTTTCTTGACTCGTTAGCTTGAATTTGGTTGTGACGATGATACCTTGTTCTGATGATGTTCGTCATATGATGGACGAAAGATTAGCAGATCTTCACCGGAATCGAAGGAGATTACCTCGGAAACAGCGTCAGCATGAATATTCCAGTAAAGCCAATCGACAGCTGATCAGGAGGAATCCGTCGTTGTCTTCTGGTGGAACCGACCTTCGAATCTCTTCGCCCAACACTTTCATTTAAAATGAAAGTAAGCTTAAAAATTATGAAACAAGAAATTCCTCGAAACCCAACTTTTCTTCCCATACTTAATTACTTTTATGAACCGTTAGGCTATAGCTTCTACCGCGCAGAATCGCACTGCATTTCGATTTGATATTTTTCGAAACTGAAGATAGTTTGAGAACATTCTATCTTGATTCAAACACTTGCATAAATAGTGTTTGAAAAAAAATATTCAAGTTTTGACACTCCACTTTTTTTGTTGTCGCGCATATACAAAGCTTCAATACTATAAATCTTCATTCTGATGAATGTTTGAACTACTTTATGCTAAAGAGGTTGTTTGATCTTATTTTCGCAATATAGTCATATTGGCAGGAAGACTTAGAGGAACGCACCTAGTACGGAGTCCGTTGCCTGCATGTTGAATCGTGGACGTGGTACATTCCAAACGTTTCGCCGGCATCGGCAGTGAGTATCGCCATTCTTAGCACCATACAACAACTCGTCAAAGAGACAAGTGGAGCCGATCCTTTAAACAAACGTGTGCTAAACAATTGTGGTATCTTCCCTTCTACCCTGGGTTATTCGCATTTCCTATATCCTCCTATCACGCTTTCACTGTCACAATTTATATTGTGCTTATTGTTACGCAGTCCTCCTTCCTTAGGTCTCATCAAAGTCTCTATTGCCCCGTAAGCTCCGTCTGCTCTCTCCC